CGTGCGTGCGTGCGTGCGTGCGTGCGTGCGTGCGTGCGTGCGTGCGTGCGTGTGTGCATGTGGTACTGGAGTTTACCTGCTACAAAGGTTCTGAACTCTAATATTAATTGCAATTGATTGTGACGATTAAATATGGAATAATCTCAGATTGCATGTAGCAGACTTTATTATTAAAATGAGGAAAACCTAGGCCAGAAAACGCGGTTCTCTAGCATAAATACAAGATCGTAATTCTCTTAGTGCGTCGTATTCCTGCTCATATGCACTTCCCATATCCCATAGCATATAACCACCCATCCCACGTGTTAACGACATTGATGTGAAATTGAAGCCAAATTAAATTTTAATATTAAATTTTAATAAGGCAGCTCTTAGCTTCATCTCCCGGCTGTACGACTCGCTTATTTCATCGATCGTCGTATAGCGTTGCGAGTGAAAACTAATCATTTCGACGCGTCGGGCGAAGTGGGAATTATTTATATTATATTCGTTATCGAAAGTCGATTGCCAAACGAGTTTACTGACGCGTGATGCCGTAACTGTTTTTCAAGATTCGCGAGATACGATGGCACCAGAGATCGTGGCGGGCCCGATGGATGCTACGTACCTACAGGGAGACATGGGGGTTCTCGACTGTGCAGCTGTCGGTATCCCCTCTCCGGACATCAAGTGGCTGAAAGATGGCACCACCATACCCATCATGTAAGTGGTGGCAGCACCGTTGCTGTTTATTGACGTTAGTGCAATAAATAAAAATGTAAATAGAAAATTAAATAGCAATAGATAAATAGATACGTGCATGCTGAATGGCTTACCATTTAGCTACATGCTTTAATCACACTCACCTACATGCTACTATATTATACACGTTTTATGTACATGCTATAATCTTGACATTATGTTATTTACCTGTAAGAATCATTGACTGATTTTTGAGTGTACTGTAAATACTAGAGCCGTGATGCACAATGGCAATTCCAAGCAGGACCATCAAGTGTTCATCAGTGTTCCTGAAACAATGTGTTATGATGCGGAAAGCTTCCAGGAGTTCTACTTCACGCAGGAGCCGATCGACGTCATCGTGCTGCGTGAGCGTCCCGCCACGCTCAACTGCTCCGCGCACGGACAGCCGAAGCCGACCATAGCGTGGAAGCGCGATGGAGTCTTACTTGACCTCAGCGGCGACAACAGACGGTAAGCGTGACGTCCGCGAACGTTTTTGTCATGGCGACCGCGAGTCGTCGTTGCCGCGGCGACCGCGTGTCGTCGTTGCTGCGGCGACCGTCAGCCGTCGTTGCTGCGGCGACCGCGAGCCGTCGTTGCCGCGGCGACCGCGTGCCGTCGTTGCCGCGGCGACCGCGTGCCGTCGTTGCCGCGGCGACCGCAAGCCTTGGTTGCTACCGGTTCTTAATACCCGTAATGCTATATGTAAGCTGTAAGTGGAAATTACTGCCCACATATGTAAGTGTACGTGTATGTAAGTAACGGTAGTTGTTATATAATAGTGCCCACCTGATAGTGTGTGTGTGTGGGGGGGGACTACCCTACTTTCTGTCGGATGCGAGAGGAAGTGAGTCCCTTTTGCCAGTCTCATGTGTGGAGCGATGACGTGTCTCGCAATCGCTCGAATTAAAATCCATTCAGAGGCAACAGCTTGTCGGGTTGTCAATTTTCGCCGGCTAGACTTTGGCCGGCTTCGTCACCTGCTGGTGATTATTGCCTATCAGCGAGTGCTTCCCGCGCTAAGAAAAATATGATTTAATCAGGAGTGAATAATAATAGATCTATTACTAGTTCTATTATTAATAATAGATATATATATAAAGATCTATTATCTATAATAATAGATCTATTATTAGATTTATTATAGATCTATTATTAATAATAGATCTATATAGATCTATTATCTATAACCGATCTATAAGATAATAGATTCTCTCCTGATCTAATCACTGCTGTTTTTGATCGCAGAAAATCGCGTCTTCGCGTTTCCGTGACGACGAGACGCGGTTCCTTATCTGGTTTCGGCAATCAGACGGTTCTCAATCGAATAACGCGAGCGTGGCCCCCGGGCGACTAGTGCTGCCACCTGTTGATGCGATGTTGAGAGAAAAACATGCTCTCGGTTGCTGTTCGTTGCCGGGTCTCCCTGAAGTGCTAGCGTTTTGTTTGCGGATCCCCTAAAAATTCTGGTGTTTTTTAAGGGATTCCCCAGAGATGCTGGTGTGTTGTTGAGGGATCCCCTAGAAATGCTAGTGTTTTCTTGAGAGATCCCTCAGAGATGCTAGAGTTTTGTGGATGGATCTCCCAGAGATTGTGGTGTTTTGTGGCTGGATCTCCCAGAGATGCTAGTGTTTTGTTGAGGGATCCCCCAGTGATGCTAATGTTTTGTTGAGGGATCCCCCAGTGATGATGATGTTTTGTGGGATCGCCGCTCCAAAGTTCTGGCAGGTGTTTCATCCCAAGGATATAAGAGCTGTCCACATTTGCACATGTCGCACATTGCGAAAATGAATTGGGGACAGCGCTTATATCCCTGAACCGGCGTTTCACCACAGTGTTTTACGCTCTGTGCGCTTCATGAAAGTTCTGGCAGGTGTTTCATCCCTGTGTTTTACTCTGTGTGCTTCAGGGAAGTGTTATAATAATAATAATTATTATTATTATTATTATT